TCAGTTCAGACAACGCAAAGCCTTCTTGTTTTTATCCCAGCAAATGCTGCAATGCTCAGATACAAACAACTCCATCTGGATGTGGTGTCCAACACTAAGCAGAAAGCCAGCGTGCCTGGGAAGGGACAAACAAACAACCTCTGTATTTATTAACCTCCAAGTTTTCAAGAGAATAAACAGCTCAAAAATTCAGAGATGACGACATGCTCTGCAGCACTGTGAGTGCAAATGGGTTGTTGTGGTCCTGAGCCTCATGATTGCTCCAGAATTATAGTTCTGTATCATTATCCTTTCACTCATTCTAACCGCTACAGCTTATCTAAGTTTTTTTTTCCCCAATTTTTCCACAATGAATTTTAGAACCAAACGGTTTCAGACTACAGCACTTAAAGAGTTGGCAGACATGGGAAAAAAAACAGGGATTTGTGGTGTTGCTGAGATCTTGCACAGAGCATCCATCCTTCCCTAAGTTGTTCACACTTGGTTTTCTCAGTGCTGAAGGACAGCGGGTGGGGGCAAGGCCTAGCATAGTTGGCTTGGCCTGATTGGTTGAGGCCTGATAGGAAACCCATGACTGAGTCATGAAGGAGCTCAACACGAAGGCAGCACCAAAAGTGAGTGTCTAACTGGAAACTGAAGCCTTGAACAGATGAATCAGGGCCAGCACTCCACAAAGGGCTGTATAAACCCTCACCACCCACCAGATAACTCCTAATAAGTTTAATACATCCTTAGTGATAACTTCATGACACACAGCCAATTCCTTTATACGGACTGATTCTGCCGTGAATCACTCCATATGGGTTTTAGTATCGCTGCAGGGCTTTGCTTGATAGAAGACTTCTTGAAGAATAACGACTGTAACATTCATTTATTTACTCCAAAATACTTTGTAAAAAGTCGACACTGCAGTGACTATTTGTGGACCAACTTCTGATTGGTCTGATTGGACTGAGCTTCTGATCTTGTTGCACAGCATGTAGATCATGGGGTTTGTTAAAGGGAAGATGACTGTATGGAATAGAGCGATGACTTTTTCCATTGGGACAGCCTGGAAGGGGAGGACGTAGATATAAATTGCTGGGCCAAAGGTGTCCAAAACCACAACCATATGGGAAATGCAGGTGGAGGTGATTTTCTTCTTGGCCTTGGAGGAGTGCGCCCGGAGCTTCAGCGATAGGGCTGTGTAGGAGATGAGGAGAAGCACAAAGCATGGCACGATGACAGAGCTGTTATTGAGGAACACCAGCAATTCCACTGTGTGAGTGTTGGCACAGGCCAGCTTTGCCAGCTGGTGGACATTGCAGAAGAAGTTGTCCAGGATGTTGGGGCCGCAAAAGGGGAGAGTGATGGTGAGAGCAAATAGAACGATGCCATGAATGAGGCCCCCACCCCACAAGGCTCCAAGCAGGGCACAGCAAACGGTCCTGTTCACAAGCATGGCATAGTGCAGGGGTTTGCAAATGGCAACATAACGATCGCAAGCCATGGCCAAGAGCAGGAAGTTTTCCACTGCTCCCAGGAAGTGAAGAAATGAGAGCTGAGCCATGCAGGCATTGTAGGAGGTAGTCTTTGGGTTTGAGAATAAGTCAGCCAGCATTTTGGGTAGGGTGACAGAGCAGTAGCAGATATCCAGGAATGCCAGATTAACCAGGAAGAAGTGCATGGGTGATCCCAGTTGGAAATTGCCCTGAACTGTGAGAATGAGGAGGATGTTGCTTGGGAGGACTGCCATGTAGAACAGGAAAAAGGAACTCAGAACTAGTGAGGCCGCACCTCGAGTACTGTGTCCAGTTTTGGGCCCCTCACTGCAAGAAAGACATTGAGGCCCTGGAACGTGTTCAAAGGATGGCAACAAAGCTGGTGAGGGGTCTGTGTCAACGGTTTAAGGGCTGGTTTGGCCTGGTTCCATGACGAGCGGGGCGGAGGGATCCGCAGATCCGCGCCTCCGGAAAAAGGGAAACAGGGGACCCCAAAAATAATTAAAAACAGCGGCAACGATGTGAGGAGAAACAAACTAATTTACTAAGTATATTATCGGAAGCAAGATAACACACTATAATACAATATAATCAGAGTTGAAGCTAATAAATCAAATATAATGAGAGAGAGAATGTCCGAAAGGTGGATAGGCCTCAGCACAACGCTGAGGTGGGATGCGCAGTGCAGTTGAGCAGCAGGGAGACGGGAGCAGCACCCACAACGAAGGGCAGGAGAGTAAAAGCACATCAGGTGACCTTGCCAGGAGTTCAACCTCCTCTCCCTGAGCGCAGAATCCCCTGGGGAATGCAGTTCTTCTCTTCTGGGCAGGTACCCAGGACTTGAGCATTGACAGTTAAAGTCCCAGTGCCCCATGTGATGTAATGATGTGGAATACCGAAAACCAAAAATCACAAAACCATGACAGTCTGGAACACAGGCTGAAGGGGACTATGTGGAGCTTGCTGGGGGTCCATCCCCATGGGGATCCACTGTTAGCCTGACTTCCATGAGGCCATGGGCTTCACAGGCCTAAGCAGCAAAAGCAAGGCCTGCTTAGTTACTGTGTTTGTTGCTTCTGCTGTGCTGAGCTGGCGGTCATGGGTGGTGATCTTTTACAATAGGGAACTGTACGCTCTGATCAAGAAGAAACACTGGACTTAGAAACAAGATGTAAGATGAGATATGGTTGCTTAGGGAGGCCTTGAAACTGTTGAGATTTGTATCCAAGATATACATAATCACATATATATGTATGTGTGTGCTGCTGTGTTGTGTGATTATAGTAGAATATAGTAGAATACAGTAGAATATAGTAGGTGTAGGAGAAGAAGAATAATAGAGGACTTTCCTATGACAGAGGCCTGTGGTTGCTGAACTGCGACAACAGGCCACATGAGGAGAGGCTGAAGGAGCTGGGAACATTCAGCCTGGAGAAGAGGAGGCTCAGGGGAGACCTCATTGCCCTTTATAACTTCCTGAAGGGAGGTTGTAGTGAGCTGGCGATCGGCCTCTTCTCTCGTGTCATTAGTGATAGGACCAGAGGGAATGGTTTCAATGGTTCAAAATGTCCTCTAATATCCCAAAGTTGCCCCAAATTGACCCCAAATATCCTCTAATGTCCCAGAATTGTCCCAAATTACCCAAAATTGTCCCGAAATTGACCCCAAATTGTCCCAAATGTCCTCTAATGTTCCATAATTGTCCCAAACTGATCCCCAAATTGTACCCAAATTTTATCCAACTTGACCTCTAATGTCCTCTAATGACCTCTAATATCTAAATTGACCCATATTACCCCAAAATTGTCCTTAAATGTTTTCAAATGTCCTCTAAGGTCCCAAATTACTCCTGAAACTCTACCCAAGTTGACCTAAATTTTCCCAAATTGATACAAATTGACCCAAAATGTCTTCTAAGGTCCCCAAATCGACCCAAGTTACCCCAAAACTGTCCTCAAATTGTCCCAAATTAACCTTGATAGTGTTTAAATTGACCCAAAAATTACCCAGTGTCTTCTAATGTCCCCAAATGTTCACAAATTATCCCCAGAATATCCCAAATTGACCCAAAATGTCTAGTAATTGTTCCGAATTACCCCAAAATGCCCCCAGATTGACCTGATTTTTCCCCAAATTGACACAAATTGACCCAAAATGTCCTCTAATGTCCCCAAATCGGCCCAAATTGCCCAAATATCCTCTAATGTTCCAAAATTGTCCCATTATCCTAAAATTGTCCCCAAATTGTTCCCAAATGCCTTCTGATGTCCCCAGGTTGTCACAAATTACCTCAACATTGTCCCAAGTTGACCCAAATTACCCCAAAACTTTCCCCAAGTTGATCGAAGATGTCCCCAGATTGTCCCAAATTGACCCAAAAAATGTCAAAATATCTCTACCAAATTAATCCATCAATATCGGCAGTGTGCCCAGCTGAGAGAGCAAAGTGCTCCTTATAAACCTCACATTGTGCCTTGAAATTAATCAGTCTTTAATTAATCGTAGGATAATTAAGGTGGTGAAGGAGCACTGAGAACACTGAGTTCAACCTTCAGCCCATCACCTCCTTTAATTAATCACAAAATAATTAAGGTGGAGAAAAAGCATAGATACCATCGAGTCCAACCTTCAGCCCATCACCTCCTGTAATTAATCACAGGATAATTAAGGTGAGGAAGGAGCACTGAGACCATTGATTTCAACCTTCAGCCCACCACCTCCTTTAATTAATCACGGAATAATTAAGATGGGGATGGAGCACTGAGCCCAACCACTGAGTCCAAACTTCAGCCTATCACCTCCTGTAATTAATAATGCAATAATTAAGGTAATTAGGTGACAGCGAATGCCATATTTGTACAATTCGGCTCTGCTCTGAATGTCCCACTGATGCCCAACTCTTTCTTTGTCTTTAAGAGGATACATTGCATTAAATGGATCTCTGAGTTGATTCCCTGGAATTGATTGCCCCACAGAATCATAGAGACCCTCAGAGAACCCTGCAGTACCCCCATAGCATTGGAGTTAGGGCAGTATGTTTGGGCTGCAGTTGGGCTTTGATGAGGGTCCTTACAGATCACAGAACCATGAAATGATAGGGTTGGAAAGGTCCTTGAAGATTACATAACCACAGAATGGTTGAGTTGGAAGGAACCTTACAGATCATAGAACCACTGAATGGTTGTGTTGAAGGGTCCTTACAGATCACAGAGCCATAGAATGATTGGGTTGGGCTGAAAAAGTCTTTGAAGATGTGAATGAATGGATCCAGAATCATGGAATGGTTGGGTTGGAAGTGTCCTCAAAAATCACAGAATCACAGAATGGTTGGGATGCAAGTTTCCTCGAAGATCATAGAGACTGGGTTGGGCTGGAAAAGTCCTTACAGATCACAGAACCATGGAATTGTTGGGTTGGAAGGGTTCTTGAAGATCATAGAGCCTTGGAACAGTTGGGTTGGGTTGGGTTGGGTTGGGTTGGGTTGGGTTGGGTTGGAAGAGCCCTGACAGGTTACAGAATTGTAGAATTATAGAAAGGTGTGGGTTGAAACAGACCTCAAAGTGATCCATCCACATTGCTCTCTTGCGCTGTGAGAGCAGCACAGCCTGAGGTGCTTTCCTTCCTCACTGAGCTCACTTTATTTCTGAAGTCCACCCCATGCAGACACACACCATCAGCTTCAATACATACCTCCCTTTCAGGACCTTTGTTGGCAGTCCATCATCCCGGTCTGAAGCCTTCTCTCTCCCACACACGTTCATGCATTCAGCAGTGCTGTGCATCGAGGAGATCACTGCTGAGCTCTGTACCCACTCACAGCCACGTCTCCCTCTGTGTGTGGGTCAGCCCAAGGCCGGCACTGCTCTACTAATAGGGGCGGATCACTGTGTGGCAGAGGATGGAGATTTCCTCTCATTGTGCTCTCCTGGCATTCTTTATCTCTTTAAGGGACCGCTGAGACTGCAGTGTTTGTTTGGTTCTAAAGGTGATGGTTTATAATTATGGCATGCAGCTGTGCTGATAACTCTGATTCCCGTGGGTCTTAATAAAAGTCATAAGCTGTTTGTCTGTTTGCAATTGTTTGTTAATACTTACTAATTACGTATTTTGCCTTCCATGATTCCCATCCGGGCGTCGCATTTGTGGGTAATGAAAAGTTGGTTGGAAAATGAAAGAAAATCAAAGCCCTTTTGCAATGCAGATGAGTCTCCCACCCATGGAACAGTGCAGTCACTGTCCCTGGAGGTGTTAGGGTTAGGTTTAGGCTTAGGGTTAGGGTAGATTTAGGGTTAGGTTTAGGGTTAGGGTTAGGGTTAGGGTCATCTCCCATGGTCTCTTCAAACCAGGTGCCACATCGAGGTCCCATCCAACTCAGTCTTTTAGGATGGAGAGCCTAACAGGGGTGGTCCCCTGCTAGACCTGAACTTCTCTAGCAGATACTGATTGGTTTGAGATGTGAATGTTTGGAACTGTCTTGGGCAGAGCGACCATGAAATTGCAGAGTTCTCTATTCTTGGAGATGTCAGAAGGGTGATTACAAAACTGTTACCTTGAACTTCAGTGGGTAGACTTTGACCTCTTCAGGACGCTTGTTGCAGGGGTCCCTTGGGAGTCACTCCTGAAGGGTAAAGGGGTCCAGGAAGCCTGGACGCACTTCAAGATGGAAATCTTAAAGGCTATTCTTGAGTGCCGTAAGGCAAAATGGAGAGGAAGAAAACCAGTTTGGATGATCCAGGAACTCTTGTTTAGATTCTGGGAGAAAAAGAGAGTCTACGTCCTCTGGAAGAAGGGATGGCTACTTGGAAAGGCTACAAAGTTCCTGAGATATGCAGGGAAGAAGTTAGAAAGGCAAAAGCCCAGCTGTAACTCAGATTGGCCACTGCTGTAAAAGAAAACAAGAAATCCTTGGCATGAAGTTCAATAAGAACGAGTGTCAGGTGCTGCACTTCGGCCACAACACCCCCAGTCTGGAGCACAATGGGGTCTTATGAGGAGCTGCGATGGGTCATGTGGAGAAGAGGAGGCTCAGGGGAGACCACGTGGCACCCTGTAGGGGAGGTTATGATGAGGAGGGAGTTGGCCGCTTCTCTTAGGCAACAAATAGAACCTGAGAAAATGCCCACAAGTTGCGCCAGGGGAGATTTAGATTAGATATAAGGAAAAAGTTTTTCACTCAAAGAGTGTTCAGGCACTGGAATGGCCCAAGGAGGGGTGGGGTTGACCATCCCTGCTGGCATTCGAGGTGTTGAAATGAGGTGCTACAAGATATGGTTCAGTTGCTTAGTGGTAGTAATGGTGACTGGAGGACAGTTGGACTGGATGGCCTTGTAGATCCTTTCCAACCTTGTCATTCTGTGATCCCATGTTAATATCTGCTTAAGCGGACAATGATTTATGCAAATGAGCTCCCAGCCTCTGCCTTTCACATTCTGCACACAAAGTCAGATATGTGGATGCACAGGATGGAAAACCATCATCTACAGTTCTCTGCATCAATTCATTTCCTATATGTTATGATTTCACTTTATAAGCACAAACTCTCAAAGTCCTCTGGCAAAGACGCGTGCTTCAAGGAAGTGTCAAAGGAACGTGATGTGGTTTTTTTGTGGTTGGTGTGGTTTGTTTTTTTGTGGTCAGTATTCCACATCAGAACACCATTGTGGACCAGTGGGAGTTACTGAGTTAATGTCATGGTTCTGTTTACTGCCTTTTACGGGCATTTTAAGTGTTCTGACGGGAAGGGAGGGGCAGCATCCTCGGAGGACCTGGTGGGAAGAGGAAGTGGGGTGGAGCTCTGGAGGACCCCAGCCTCTCCCTTTGGCCCAGCTCAGTGGAGCAAATGCTTTCCCTCGCACTATTGTGGTTTGACTCATACTCTGGGTACTCATGTCTCTCTCATTTTGTTTGATTTGGTTAAATTTAGTGAATTACCGTTCCTCCTCAGATAGTTGCCATTGTCTTTTTGTTAAAACTATCCGCTAGCTTTCTGTCCTTCCCTCTCTCCCAAAGTGCATGGCCCGGGGCAAACTGTTAGTATCCCTTCAGTTTTTTTGCCTTCTCTCTTTTGCTTTTTTTTTTTTTTTCCTTCCCTCCTCCCCCCCCCCCTCCCCCCATCACAGACTTATATCTAGTAATAACCCTGTGACAGGCTCCAAACATGTTCAGCAGCACCCACTCAAGCCATAACCTTCTTGATAAGCTCTTTGGTTAATGGTTACCATCAGCACAGCGGGAAGAGAAACATAATCAGCTGAACCACTAGGAGAAACCTTTTGGGCTGTTGTTTCTTCGGGCATTCAATGTGAGTGATGGGGGTCATGGCGAAGGAGAGTCCCCCCTTGCAGTGGGGCTCAGGGAGTCAGCTCTGAAGTGCAAAGCTGTTCTCACAGCACTGCAACGGGACACAAAGGGCTGTCGCTTTGAGTTTTGTAGTTGTGGTATGCTGTGCAATCAGCAGTCTGTGAAGCTTAACTCCAGTGGTTATTGTGAGGTGCAATTCATCTCTCAGTCCAATTCTTCACATGGTTTTCCTGGAAAAGAAAGAAAAAGCAATGGATGCTGAGGTGGGACAGTTTGTCATCCCATGGGAAACCCTGTATTTCTCTGGTTTCGGGAAGACTCACTCGATACTTCAGTTCCTTCCTCTGGAAAAAAAAAAGAAAAAAGCAAAGCATAATGAGATGGGGCAGGTGGTCATTCTGTGAGAAGCCTCAAATTGATTGCGTTCTGGGAACAAGACTCACCCTATTCATCTATTTGTTTCGCTGGGGGGAAAAAAAGTGAAAAGCAATGCATGATGAGAGGAATGTGTCATCCCAGAGCTCACAAAGGCAGAACCCTTTTTTAATTTTTTTTTTTTTTGGG